ACAGAGAAACCCTGTCTTGAAAAACAAACAAAACATAACAAACAAAAATTCTAAATCTTGTAGTGTAATACCCCCCAGTACCATGGATATAGCAGAAAAAGATTCAGCAAGGACTCAAGCTGTATGGGGCAGAGGGAGATTGTAGGTGACGACAGAGGTGGCACAGGTGACGAATTTAGCAACAGAATAGAGGAGACTGGGGTGGGGAGAGAAAGAATAAAATCAAAGACCTTGGTAAAGAAATTATCCAGACTAACAAAGCAATAATAGCCTGCACAACAGCTGAGCAGTATCATGGAACTGAATAACTGTAATACATGGTCCATTCATGGACCCAGGGAAGAATGAGGGATAAGGAAAAAAAAATCTTAGAAATAATAGCAGAAAGCGTCTGACGTCTGTTGAAAAATATGAACCTATAACTCAAAAAGTTGAGTACATTTGAACATAGTTAAATGGAGGCAAGATAGTCTTTTTTTTATTTATTTCTTTATTAATCAAGATAGTCTTTTTAAAGAGCAGTGCTGTAGGGGTTGGGCAAATGTGCCAAGGAGTCAAGCTGATTCTGTACATCATATTGGGTATAAAAAGTAACCACAAATTTGTCATAAAGCTATTGCAAGTGCTGAAAATTGAGCATTTTTCTTTTTTTTTCTTTTTGGTTTTTAAAAACAGAGTTTTGGTATAGGAGAGTCTTCTTTCTATATGTTGCTTTCATTGGTTGAATAAAGAAAACTGCCTTGGCCTTTTGATAGGTCAAAACTTAGATAGGTGGAGTAGATAGAACAGAATGCTGGGAGAAAGGAGGCAGAGACAGAGAGCTGCCCACCATGAAGCTGCCAGGTCAGACATGTTGAATCTTTCCCGGTAAGCCACGAGCTCGTGGTGACATACAGATTATTAGAAATTGGTTGAATCAAGATGTGAGAGTTAGCCAATAAGAGGCCAGAACTAATGGGCCAGGCAGCAATTTAATTAATACAGATTTCCATGTGGTTGTTTCTGGTATAAGCTAGCTGGGCGACAGGGAGCCAGGCTGGACGAAACAAAGTAGCCCGCACCTTTTACTACAGGGTTCCTCTGTATATCCCTGACTTTCCTGGAACTAGCTCTGAAGACCAGGCTGGCCTTGAACTCACAGAGATTCACAAGCCTATGCCTCAGGAGTGCTGAGACTGAAAGTGTGTCCCATGAAGCTCAGTCAAGAAATACACACACACACACACACACACACACACACGCAAAGAATATGATATATATACTTCATTTTATATACTTAAATTCTTTCATATAAAATGAAGTAAAAGACTATGAGAAGAAACTCTGGATCCGTAGCTATTAGGGATCAAATCAAAACTTGGAGATACCACTTGATATCCAGCAGTATAACTATGGAATTTCACGTGTTACTGGGGAGCACAGGAGGAGCTGGTGCCCTCATGCCTTGCTAGCAGGGTTATAAAATGCTAAGACTGCTTTAGGAAACAATTAAATCAACAATCTCCCTGTCTCTCAGCTGTTTTCATAGCCAAAATGAAAACAGGCCTACCGCAGAACGGTGCACAAATGTTCATAGCAGTATCTTGTGACTACAAGTACTCCAAAAGTAGAACAATAGAGGTATCAACTGATTAATGAGTAAACAATATATTCCTTACATCCTTACAACTGACTATTATCTGGCCCTAAAAAGGATTAAAGTACTTTTAATAGCGTTAGATATGAATGTTATCATATGAATGAAACTTGAGAAGATGCTAGGCAAAGGAGGCCAGTTTTTAAGAAATCACATACTGAATTATCATATTTATGTGAAATGTCTGGCATGGCCAACTGTATAGAAACAGGAGGAACATTAGTGGTTGCTAAGGGTGTAGGCGGGGTTGGGGCAGTGACAACTAGGAAGTATAGGGTTTCTTTCTGAGGTGGTGAAAATTCTAAAATTAGATATGAAGTTTCACAACCCCGTAAATATACCAAGAGCTACTGAATTGTACATTTTAAACAGGCTAAATTTTATGCTTTACAAATTATACCTCAACAAAGCTATTATTTAAAATAAAGCACACACAACCTAAGTAATATAAATGCAAAGAAATCTATGTCAAGACACCTATTCTTCAACTTCTGAGAATTAAAGATGAAGAAACAAATCCGGAGAGCAGAAAGAATATCACCTTCCCTACAGGGGAGAACAATCCAAATGACAGTGGATTTCAGAAACCCTAGAGGCACAAGGAAGGCATGACACATCTTGCCAAGTGCAGAAAGGAAAAAAAAAAAAACCACAACCCCCCCCAAAAAAAAAAACAAACGGGCAACAAACAAAAATTCCACCTCACTCAGAAGGGAAAAACCTACTCAAATCCCAAACCCACCAAAAGAACCCTTAGAAGCAAGGATGAGGGAAGACATTCTTAGATGAGAGGAAACTAAAGCATTTTTTGTCAGCAGTGGGCTTTTTCTGAAGAAGAAAAATAGTTAAATGGAGTTCTCCAAAGAGGAAATTGTAAAAGAAGGATTATAGGAACCATGGAATCCAAGAAAGACATTAAGCCAGTGGCTCTCAACCTTCCCAATGCTGTGACCTTTTAATATAGTTAGTCCTCATTTATGGTGACCTCCAACCATAAAATTATTTCATTGATACTTCATAACTATAACTTTGCTACTGTTATGAATTGTAATGTAAATACCTAATATGCAAGATATTTGATATGCAACCTCCAAAGGTTGAGGACTGTTCCATTAAGCAAAACATGGGTAAATGCCATCGTACAAAAGACTTGACCATAATCCACCCAACAGAAGGTAGATACCTGGAAGAGCCTGAAACTGTAGAAAATTGAAATCACAATTTAAAAACTTCTTGGAAAGAAATCTCAAAACTCAGGGAGCTTCACGGGAGATTGCTGCAAGCATTGAAAAACAACACACTAATATCTGCACAATCATCTCCTGGAAAGTGGGAACACAACTCACTTCAGATAGCTGCTCTTCTATCGCCAAAAATCAAACTACAAAATGGAAAACGACAGAGCAACCATTTCTTAAGAAAATTAGCTCAGAAATTCTTGCCAAATTATTAGCGAACAATTCAACGACTTCTGAAAGAATTACACACCGTGATCAAGGCCACTTTATCTGAGGTTTCACGGCCTGTTCAGTAATAAAAGCCAGCTGGTATGATGAACCATTAGTTGAATGCACATGGAATCAAAATGGCCTGTCCACATACCTACTGGAAAATGACCGGAATTAAATATATAAGCACCAACAATAAAAGAAATCAGCATGATTTGTACGTGCACTTAAGAACAGGTACCACGGAGGCCAGAATAAGTAGGGTTGTTGTCCCTTGAGCTGGAGTCACAGTCTGTAGTGAGCTGTTCTCATGTGTGTGCTGAGAATCGAACTCAGGTCCTCTGAACGAGCAGCACACCCTCTTAACCACTGGGCCATCTTTACAGACCTCTTTTTGTATCCGTATTGCTCGTGCTCAATCATCTTTGGAGAAATATCTATATGGCTCAGTCCTAGCTTTGCCTTTTTAGGGATGCTGATCACACTTAGGAAACCTTGATACAGTAGTGACACTTGCCTGTGATGGAGAGAGGATTAGATGAGGCTATACTCATAATGTGACTGTCACTTGGTAAATGCCTGCAATTATTCTTATGTTTGGAATGTGTGCTGACTCACTTGCTGAAGATGACGCCACTTCTACCATTGCTAACAGTAGATGTGGAGGCTTGTATTCTTTTCTTCAGCATGCCTTGTCAGCAGTACGCTTTCTCCAGTTCTTTTCTCTCATCTATAAACTTAAACCTTAATTTAAATAAAAAAAGTCCCTTACAATCATTTTCAGAGACTTCTAATTTTCTATTTGCAGGTTAAGTCAGAGTTTTTGATACTAATAAAGATCCTTTCTTTCTTTTTTCCTTCGTTTGTCCCTTCCTTCCTTCCTTCCTTCCTTCCTTCCTTCCTTCCTTCCTTCCTTCCTTCCTTCCTTTCTATAGTGAAAGCATATATATTTAGAATTAGCCAGCTGGGCTCAGTTTAGATGATCTCCATCTTCTCGGTAACATCCAGAGCATTATAGTCAGGAGTCTGCCAAACACGGGTTTCCTTCTCTCTCTCAGGCCTTATTAGGGTGTGGACTTTGGCCACATCAGTGTCATAGAGTTTCTTCACAGCCTGCTTACACTGGTGCTTGTTGGCCTTGACATCCACAGTGAGCACAGCGTGATATCATCTTCTGTCTTCTTCATGGCTGGCCTAGTGGTCAGGGGGAATTTGATGACAGCGTAGTACTCAAGCTTGTTTCTTCTGGTCTCTCTCTAGAGATTATTTGTGCTGCCTCCAGAGCCTTGAGGTCTTGGGACTCTGGAAGGTGGGTGACATGTGGATCTTCTTTGATGGCTGTGGATATCCCCCAGAACCACCTTCTTGGCTTTCAAGGCCTTCACTTTGACTGCAGCTTCGGGAGGGGCAGGAACCAGTTTCTTCACCTTCAGCGGCATCCTTACCCATCATTTCATTTTTAATTTGACTAAGATATAAAAAGTATTCAATTTTTATGTTGTATAAAATATATACTATATATTTACTATATTATATATTTAAAGTATACATAATGTATATAATTGATGGAGGAAGATCATTGGTTAATTATAATAAACCAACTGCTTGGCCTCATAGCTTAGAACATAGATGGGAGGAGTAAACAGAATAGAATTCTGGGCGGAAGAGGAAGTGAGGTCAGACTCTGCTCTGCTCCCAGACAGACCCGACAGCTCTGCTCTCTGGAGCAGAGATGCCATGCTCAGCTCTCCCAGGCAACTCCAACCCAGGATGGACATGGGCTAGAATCTTCCCGGTAAGCGCACCTTGGGGTGCTTACACACATCATTAGAAATGGGCTAGTCCAGGTGCGAGAATTAGCCTGTAAGGGCTAGAGTTCATGGGTCAAGCAGTTCTTTAAATGAATACAGTTTGTGTGTTGTTATTTCGGGCATGAGCTAGCCAAGCGGCCGGGGTGTTGGGGACGCAGCCCCGCCGCTCCATATTTCAACAGATGGTGCCCAGACGTGAGGCTAACTGAATCCACAAAAAGCCTGAGAAAGCTTGGGAAAGAATGGAGTGAAGCATGTTTTCTTGGTAGAACAAATTTCTTGGGTCTACTCTGCTTGCTAGAGGCAAGCAAGCGCTCTCATCTAAGAGAGGCTTCCTGACTCAGCTTCAGCTGCAAAACCCTGCAGCTCATTAAGAGGTCCTGCCACGAAACACTTAAACGGTGTTGGTGAAAAGCTGAACGCATGCTTTTCGGTTTTCAGCCGTAGCAGGAAAAAAGCTGTGCTGTTTAAAAATGCCGGCTTTCTGGGCCGTCCTGCCAGGGCAAACTCTGACTGAGGCAGGAGGGCCAACTACCGAGAGAGGACTTGACTGTTGTCTGTTGTAGCTCGCTGGCTGGCAGGGACCTTGAAACGCCATAGAATTGTGGCTATAAACATGGCTACAGCCTGTATCTCCGCCATGAGGCTGGAAAGCTAAGGAATGGACTGGATCTAGCTGGCAAAGCCACGGCTTTAATCCTACTCATATTGCTCAGTAATTTAAAGGCTCGTGTGGTCAGAAAAAGAGAGAGATACAGTAAAGAGATTCAAAGATAAAGAAAATGTTTAAATGATTTACAGTGTGTTAAAAATATATGCAAGCTAAAAGTTAAAAGTTTTTAAAAAAAAAGTAAGAAAAAGAGAAGTTGTGTGTGGTAGTACACGCCTTTAATCCCAACACTTGGGAGGCAGAGGGAGATTGACCTCTGTGACTTCAAGGTGTGGTAGCACACGCCTTTAATCCCAGTGCCTAGAAGGCAGAGACAAACAGATCTCTGTGAGTTCAAGGTGTGGTAGCAAACACCTTTAATCCCAATGCCTGGGAGGCAGAGACAGGCGGATCTCTGAGAGTTCAAGGAGAGCCTGGTCTACAGAGTTATTCCAGGTCAAAAAGATACAGAGAATATAAAATAAAAGTAAAAATAAACGAAATAGAGGTTAAAATAAAGCGTACAAAGATGGAAAATACACAGAGAATCTTGATACTGTATACTATTATGCTCTCTTTGAATTGTTTGAATGCTGAGGAAGGAGCAACAGATGCTAAAAGATATTTGTTTATAAATGCTGCTGAACTAATCCATCGTAGAGATTTTGATGCCTTGACTTTGAAATTTGGATCTAAGGACATGATACTTTGGAAAGGAGTTTCTTATTTTGTTTTCACAGAGGATGAGACCCTGTTCATTTCTTCTATTCCGATATGGTATGATGGACCACGCCCTCCTGAACGGTTGCTGTGAATACCTTCAGAAAATTGCTTCGCTCAACTGCCAACTGAGATGAAACTAGCACACAGGTTATACCATGAAAGACCTAATTAACGACGCCCCCATTCAGCAGGAAGCAGTTTGGAGAGAAAAAACTGCGCCCATGTTCCCAAATATTGTTTATAAATGTTCTTTTACATTTAAAGGGGGAGATGATATAGGTATGAATAATTTACATTGATATGGATTTTGCTTTAGTGATTTAAATTTAAGGTTAATTTTGTAATGTATATAGGTTGTTAATGAATAATCATTAATAATAGTTAAGTTTGTAGTCATGTTAGTTAAGATTTTCTAGATGTGCATAGATATATTTTAGATAGGCATTCTTCATATTTTTCAAAGATTATAGAATATGGCATTTTAAATGTTTTAATAACTTAGGACTTTTCATGACAATGAGACACTCTGCTCCTGGCAGCACCAATCTACTTCAAGAGGAAGATGGGCATCGAAGAGGATCCTTATGGAGTTTGATAGCCATTTGGGCAAGAAACTGCTCTTGCCTGGACTATTGCATAAACTGGACACAGAGAACCCGCAGAGAGAGGACTGCTGAACTTGCCTAAAGGTGAGATGATCTTTCGGGGTTCCTGATTCATGAAAGAGTCTGCAAGACATTCTTCAGGACAAGCAGATAGTGACTGCCTTTGAAAGTTCCTGCTTTGTGGAAATGTCTGCTGGAAACTATGGGCCTCTAGGCTGAAGATGGATGCCCCAACGGTACAGAGGAACTTTGGGTGACTGTCCAGGCAGTGAGATGTCTCTGTCATTTCTAGAGTTTGAGAGTTTGCTTATTTCTTATTTGTTTAGGTAATATTGTATCTTTCTGGACTGTTTGATGGAGTTAAGAATAGTTAGCTATAGTTATAGTTTTTCTTAGTTATGATATAGATTATTGTAATTTTTACTTGATAACTGTTTTGTTATATGTAATTTTGCTATGTTAAGTTAAAGCCTTTTTTTTTTTGTTTAAACAGAAAAAGGGGAAGTGATGTGGGAGTGTCATATATCAATCTGTTGATTTCATTGGTTAAGTTATAATAAACCAACTGCTTGGCCTCAGCTTGGAACATAGATGGGAGGAGTAAACAGAATAGAATTCTGGGCGGAAGAGGAAGTGAGGTCAGACTCTGCTCTGCTCCCGGAGAGACCCGACAGCTCTGCTGGAGCAGAGACGCCATGCTCAGCTCTCCCAGGCAACTCCAACCCACGATGGACTTAGGCTAGAATCTTCCCGGTAAGCGCACCTTGGCGTGCTTACAAACATTATTAGAAATGGGCTAGTCCAGGGGCGAGAATTAGCCTGTAAGGGTTAGAGTTCATGGGCCAAGCAGTTCTTTAAATGAATACAGTTTGTGTGTTGTTATTTCGGGCGTGAGCTAGCCAAGCGGCTGGGGTGTTGGGGACGCAGCCCCGCCGCCGCTCCTATTTCAACAGATGGCGCCCAGACGTGTGGCTAACTGAATCCACAAAAAGCCTGAGAAAGCTGGGGAAAGAATGGAATGAAGCATGTTTTCTTGGTAGCAACAAATTTCTTGGGTCTACTCTGCTTGCTAGAGGCAAGCAAGCGCTCTCATCTAAGAGAGGCTTCCTGACTCAGCTTCAGCTGCAAAACCCTGCAGCTCATTAAGAGTTCCTGCCAGGAAACACTTAAACGGTGTTGGTGAAAAGCTGAACGCATGCTTTTCGGTTTTCAGCCGTAGCAGGAAAAAAGCTGTGCTGTTTAAAAATGCCGGCTTTCTGGGCCGTCCTGCCAGGGCAAACTCTGACTGAGGCAGGAGAGCCAACTACCGAGAGAGGACTTGACTGTTGTCTGTTGTAGCTCGCTGGCTGGCAGGGACCTTGAAACGCCATAGAATTGTGGCTATAAACATGGCTACAGCCTGTATCTCCGCCATGAGGCTGGAAAGCTAAGGAATGGACTGGATCTAGCTGGCAAAGCCACGGCTTTAATCCTACTCATATTGCTCAGTAATTTAAAGGCTCCTGTGGTCAGAAAAACAGAGAGATATACAGTAAAGAGATTCAAAGATAAAGAAAATGTTTAAATGATTTACAGTGTGTTAAAAATATATGCAAGCTAAAAGTTAAAAGTTTTTAAAAAAAAAGTAAGAAAAAGAGAAGTTGTGTGTGGTAGTACACGCCTTTAATCCCAACACTTGGGAGGCAGAGGGAGATTGACCTCTGTGACTTCAAGGTGTGGTAGCACACGCCTTTAATCCCAGTGCCTAGAAGGCAGAGACAAACAGATCTCTGTGAGTTCAAGGTGTGGTAGCAAACACCTTTAATCCCAATGCCTGGGAGGCAGAGACAGGCGGATCTCTGAGAGTTCAAGGAGAGCCTGGTCTACAGAGTTATTCCAGGTCAAAGAGATACAGAGAATATAAAATAAAAGTAAAAATAAACGAAATAGAGGTTAAAATAAAGCGTACAAAGATGGAAAATACACAGAGAATCTTGATACTGTATACTATTATGCTCTCTTTGAATTGTTTGAATGCTGAGGAAGGAGCAACAGATGCTAAAAGATATTTGTTTATAAATGCTGCTGAACTAATCCATCGTAGAGATTTTGATGCCTTGACTTTGAAATTTGGATCTAAGGACATGATGCTTTCGAAAGGAGTTTCCTATTTTGTTTTCACAGAGGATGAGACCCTGTTCATTTCTTCTATTCCGATATGGTATGATGGACCACGCCCTCCTGAACGGTTGCTGTGAATACCTTCAGAAAATTGCTTCGCTCAACTGCCAACTGAGATGAAACTAGCACACAGGTTATACCATGAAAGACCTAATTAACGACGCCCCCATTCAGCAGGAAGCAGTTTGGAGAGAAAAAACTGCGCCCATGTTCCCAAATATTGTTTATAAATGTTCTTTTACATTTAAAGGGGGAGATGATATAGGTATGAATAATTTACATTGATATGGATTTTGCTTTAGTGATTTAAATTTAAGGTTAATTTTGTAATGTATATAGGTTGTTAATGAATAATCATTAATAATAGTTAAGTTTGTAGTCATGTTAGTTAAGATTTTCTAGATGTGCATAGATATATTTTAGATAGGCATTCTTCATATTTTTCAAAGATTATAGAATATGGCATTTTAAATGTTTTAATAACTTAGGACTTTTCATGACAATGAGACACTCTGCTCCTGGCAGCACCAATCTACTTCAAGAGGAAGATGGGCATCGAAGAGGATCCTTATGGAGTTTGATAGCCATTTGGGCAAGAAACTGCTCTTGCCTGGACTATTGCATAAACTGGACACAGAGAACCCGCAGAGAGAGGACTGCTGAACTTGCCTAAAGGTGAGATGATCTTTCGGGGTTCCTGATTCATGAAAGAGTCTGCAAGACATTCTTCAGGACAAGCAGATAGTGACTGCCTTTGAAATTTCCTGCTTTGTGGAAATGTCTGCTGGAAACTATGGGCCTGTAGGCCGAAGATGGATGCCCCAACGGTACAGAGGAACTTTGGGTGACTGTCCAGGCAGCGAGATGTCTCTGTCATTTCTAGAGCTTTGGATGTTAAGTTAAAGCCTTTTTTTTTTTTGTTTAAACAGAAAAAGGGGAAGTGATGTGGGAGTGTCATATATCAATCTGTTGATTTCATTGGTTAAGTTATAATAAACCAACTGCTTGGCCATAGCTTGGAACATAGATGGGAGGAGTAAACAGAATAGAATTCTGGGCGGAAGAGGAAGTGAGGTCAGACTCTGCTCTGCTTCCAGAGGGACCGGACAGCTCTGCTCTCTGGAGCAGAGACGCCATGCTCAGCTCTCCCAGGCAACTCCAACCCAGAATGGACATAGGCTAGAATCTTCCCGGTAAGCGCACCTTGGGGTGCTTACACACATCATTAGAAATGGGCTAGTCCAGGTGCGAGAATTAGCCTGTAAGGGCTAGAGTTCATGGGCCAAGCAGTTCTTAAATGAATACAGTTTGTGTGTTGTTATTTCGGGCATGAGCTAGCCAAGCGGCCGGGGTGTTGGGGACGCAGCCCCGCCGCTCCTATTTCAACATATAATTGAACTAAAACTACTTTATTACAACACTCATTCAGTGTGTCTCTGTGTGCATCTGTGCTCAGGGGGGTCAGAGGAGAACCCATGGGAACTGGGTGAGACTCTGCTTTCACCGTGTGGGGCCAGGAACAGACTCGTGCTGACAGGTTTGGTGGCAAGCACCTTTACCAAATGAGTAATCTTGCTAGTCTCAGAACTGAATATTTTTTAAAAACTTCTTTTAAATTTATCTTATGTGTGCAGTATATATACCATGTGTGTGTGTGGCTTGTGTGCCTGGTGCCAAGGAGGTTGGAAGAGGGCTTCAGATCTCTTAGACCTGAAGTTACAGATGGTTGTGAGACACCACGTGGGTTCTAGAAGCCAAACTCAAACTCAGGTCCTCTCCAAGATCACTGAGTGCCCTTAACTGCTAAGCCATCTAAGCCATCTCTCCAGCTCCTGGAATTGAATTTTTTTTTTTTTTAAACTGGCTGTCCTGGAACTTGCTATGTGGACCAGTTTGGTCTCAAATTCACAGACATCCACCTGCCTCTGCCTCCCAAGTGCTGGGATTAAAGGCTCAGGAGTCACCTCTCCCAGTTCCTAGAACTGAATTTTTAACTGTGTTTACAGAAGCCATAAGATGAGGTTCTAGCCATGGTTTCATTTTTCAGTTTGAGACCAAAAAAAGCATTTTGATGCACATAATCTTGAGTTATCAGATTCACATTGGAACAAAATACTTTAATGTTAAATTTAAATTAATTCCACAGGTAATTGAAGTCACTGTTATGATTTTAATATAATTTATGTAAAAATTACAATATATTTTTTCATGCTTAAAAATTTTGTTTTAGACTTTATGTATCTATTTGTTTGCTTGATATATATCTCTATCTCTATCTCTATCTCTATATCTATATCTATATATCTGTACACCACATGCGTGTCGTTCCTGTGGAGACCCGAAGAAGATGTCAGGTCCCCTGGGACTGTAGTTACAGTTGTGAGCCACCATGTAGGTGTGGGAGTTGAATCCAGGATTTCTGGAAGAGCAGTCAGTGCTGTTAATCTGCAAGCTATCTCTCCAGCCCCTCTTGTTTTGTTTTGATAATTATGTGCAAAATCAACTACAAATGAAATAGAAGTATTCACAGGTCAGAGACGTTCAAGGGCCTGAGTCTGTGGCCTTGAACTCACAGAGCTTTGCCTGAC